CAAACCTAAATTTCTAACACTCATGCTGTAAAAACAACATGATAAACCACATGGGTTTTTTAGCTCACGAAAATGCAAGGGGAGATCAAAGATAGAGGAAACAACAGAAATAGGTGGTTTACAGTCTCAGTAATAACACCTTCACAGAACGAAACATAAGTTCAAAAGCAAAGCTTTGTAAGTGAAAAGATAAAAGGTTCTAAGTTGACGGCATTAGGAGAATCTGTATCAGCATAATTTTTCTTAATATCTGTTGTGTTGTTAATTAGAGTAATTTCGTGCAAAGATGCCCGGATAGTTGTATAATTTCCACTACTATCTTCTCAGGTGTGGTATTTCAGAAGAAGCACTAGTAAGCTCATAACCATATTATGCACTTTTTCGTGGTTGTTCAACACTCATGTACATTTTTATGTTTATCTTTCTCTGTGATCCTAGTGATATCATTTTACATTGTATTCCATCTCCTTTTGGTTTACATTTCTCATCTTAGGTTAAATAGTCACACTATCAATTTTACTAGGTGCCACATGAAACAGATAGTTGCTATCCAAATCTATGAAGAAGCTAATGATTGGTCAAACGAAGGATCATGACATCATCGTCCAATTGAAATGATATCAAATTAAGCAATATCAAAACTAATAGACTCATAGGATCAGTGATTTTCAAAATAGCTCTAGTTGTAAGAAGATAAAAAATAACTCCACTAAGTCTTACGAGGAGAACTTGAGGGTGATGTTGACTCAATTTGTTAAGTACAAAAGTATCATATGCCTATTTCTAACATAATCGCAAGGAGGAAGAGAAAACAGTTGAATATTTCCAGAAATACATGGAAATGCATGAATGAGTTCACCACTCTTATATAACCTAAGCAATATTCAGAAAAGTAGCAATGCTAGGTGTGTATATTTTCATTTGGTAGAAATTCGAATCACATATCAACAAGCTCAAAAGCAACAGTTAAGAGTTTTACAGTTACTCAAAAAGAAGATTCATACCTTTGACTTTTTGCTCATATGCACTGCGATCACGCATCATTAAAGCTGCAGCCTCTCCATTCAGAGGATCAGATGCATTTGGGTACAAAAGAAGTTGCGGAAGAAAAACTTCAAAAACGTTTACTAGGTCTGGATAGAAATAAATAAACAGTTGAGGCTCATACAAATATCATACTCAATGTTCATAAGGGCCAATATCCGAAAAATGGATAATTTTTTCAACTCACCAAACATGGGACTCCACGTCTGATTGATAACATCTAAGCAGACAGATCCAGACCTGGAATACAATAAACATGAAATTTTTAAAACTACATCTACCAGGAAAACAGATAAACATTTTAGCATAATGCATCGGGCAAACTCACATTTCATCAACATTTGGATGGTAGATTTTATTTACGAAACCAATGGATGGAGATTTATATGGATAGGCATCCGGGAGTTCAACCCTTACCTTCCAAACACCTCCCTGGTAAGGACCTGTTAGATATCATCGAATACAATAAAAGAAATTCCACATATTTTGCAATAAATACAACAACAACAACAAATTCCACATATTTTGCAATAAATGCACAACAAAAATATAACTTAATTAAAAAACAAAAATGGCAGAACAATTGGTGACAGAGATCCATCAAAACTGATAGGAGAATCACTTTAGTGACCCCGAACAAGAACCTAAAAACCCCCAGAGACTCGGTTCACTTTGAACTGATTAGGAAGCCTGGATGCTAAAACTCCAAGGCAAAAATGGTATCCGATCGAAAAGCTAGCTATCCAATATTCAATAACTCAAAACATCAAGTCCCAAAAACCCATGCTTGTACTTAACAACAATCTACCAGCAGCTATGCAATTCCACTAAAATTTTCTCCAACATCACAAATACATCAAAATCACCAGAGCCAGAAACTACAACCCAAACATACACAAATACCAGAACAAATAAAGATAAGATTTTTAAGAACAAGGAACATGAATCAACCCAAACCCACACCAAGCTCGAACCAAACAGATCATCAAATGAGGTGAAAAAAAATCAATAAGAAACAAGAAAAGATTAATGGGCTCCGAGAAAAAAACGAATTACTTTCTTTGGGTCCATGGAATTCCACATGGAACTCTTGCATGCTGTCATTGATCGTCTCCACCTTGTAGTCGGTCATCATCCTAATGAACACAGAAAAAAGCAATCATAATCCATAAATCATACCCCCCAAATGAGTTAAAAACAAAAGGGCCGAACGAAATCAGACATACGAACTCAGATTAGGCATCAAAACAAAATATTTCATTAAAAAAAAAAAAAAAAAAAAATCTGATATTTTACAGCTTCATCAAATCCATTTCCCGGCGCTTGCTTGGGGAAGACATGGTTCCTTAATTTCTTTTCAATTTTTTTTTTCAATTTTCTTGGGGATTGAGTGTACGTATATGCAGTGGGAGTGTTGAAGGCGGTTCTTCAGGCATCAAAGACCAAAAGTGGAATGAAAAAGAGAGCTGGGGACCTGAGGTTTTTGGCTCAGCTAAATTTTCTTAATAAAAAATAAATAAACATTTTGTTTTCCAGATTTATTAATACATTTTATTTTTATTTTTGTCACAAATAATTTATGCCAATAGTTGTTGTTTTAGACTTTTAGAGGATCTCAAATTTGTTCTATGGGCTGGCTCTAATTTACTTTCAATTATGGGCTTTGTGATATTATTTGAGATGGGCTTTGCTCTGAATATATTCTACTATTGGTGGCGTTTGGCCACGAGGCATGTGTTGTGGCTTAGTAGTTAGAAAACAATCTATATATATATATTAAAGCAGAGCAGCTGCTAAATTCCCGCTCAAAATCTACATTAAATGTTATGCACATTATTTGATAACTAATCTCTTCTTAAATTTTGCATTAAATTTCCACTTAGTATTAAATTTGAGAATAATGAATACATTTGTTTCATGTATGTTAGGAAACCGTGCATAGCTCCTAATTTTTGTCTATCATGTTTATGTACACTTAGTTAAGTAGCTTGGAAAAAAAAAAAAAAAAATAATCCTCCAAAACTACATTTATCATTTAGATATAAATTTTGACCATTTCTAAGTATGATATATCATTACAAAAATAGTATAATTGTTTGTTCAAGAAAATAATTAAGTTTATATTTAATTGTGCGTTGGGACTTGCACGTGGAAAATTCAAACAACAAAAAATTATTATGTGTACAAAAACTTACTTAAAAAATAGAATTATCATTATAGATAGTTTATGTATAATAATTCAAATATATTCTATTATTTCTTATAATCATATATAGAGTGAAAATAATATACACAAAATATACTTTAAGGTGGTTATCTATTTTAGTTATAATAAAAGGGCTCCAATAGTTTACGACTTAAATAGAATAACATGCTAATTATTGGTGATATTTTCCAAATATCTAAAATTTAATACAAAATTCATTAACATGGTTAGTAAAAAATTGCAAACTTACACAACTAAATTTCATATAAGTTTATTTTTATTTTATTTTCTAATAAATTATTTTGAAAATAATAAAAAAAGAAAGATAGAGAGAGAAAGAATGAAGTTATATATGTTATAAATAAAGTAATTTATTCTAAAAGGAATAAAATTTTTAAAATAAAATAAAATAAAAAGCACCATCTACATGCATTAAGGACGAACTTGCATGTCCATATAAAATATATATCTAAAACACAAAATAACCTTTATATGGTCCAAAAAAAAAATTATTAATTTAGGTTCTTTTACAAATATCAACCATGAATTTGAACAAATGAAACAAAAGAAAAAAAGATATAAGCAAACTTAGAATTCGAACATGATATCTAAACTTGATTTTATTTATGAATTAAAAATAGATGATATTTCAGAACTGATATTAAAAAAAAGAAAAATGATAACATATAAATGGGGAGAGTGACATTATTTCAAAGAGGTATAACTCATGTCATTAACTATGAAGACTGAAGAAAAACTTATACTGAATTTGATTTGATTGAAGGTGTTCATTGGCCCGAAAATATAAAGTTTGTTTACTTTATTTATTTTTAGTTAGTATAATTTTTTTTTGTCAATTTATTGAACAGGCCATCTCAACATGTTCATACATTTTTTTTATCATTTATCACATGTGTTAGTTTTACTTTTTATCATTTTAGAGTTATATATTACATTTAAATATTTTATTATTATTGTTTAACAAGAACTCTCTCAATATGTATTTCTAACAAAGTAAGTTAAATTATGATTATCATAAATTCAATGCAAAATAAGTGTTGGGTATTGATCGATCCACTGACATTTATCATCTTGATCGTTATCTTATTATGACCTAAAAATATACAGAAAAATAAAAACATCTTGAAATTATATAATTTATTATATAAAGACATTTGTACTTTTATTTTTCAACTTCTAGATGGACATAAAGTGATATAATTTGTATACAGAATAAAAATTAGATGATTTAGTTTTGAACATGACATCGGAATTTGGTTTCATTTATGAGTAAGAAATAGACTAATATTGTGGAGTTATATTGTAAAAAAAAAAAAGGAAATGATATAAAAAGAGAGAGAGAGAGAGTCTCAAGTCTCAACCATAAGAGATGAGAAAGAAATAGTGACGATATAGTTTTGACTCGAAAGAATGAATACGACAATGTATATTTATCATCCAATTATTTAGTTGATTTTTTGTTATATATGAGATATTTTATATGGGTTTTAGTTCATTTGATTGAATTGGTTGAGCTTAAATTAAATAGTTGTTTTAATTTATTTATTTTTAGTTGATATCATTTTTCATTTAAATGGTTGTGATTAAAGTGATTGCCCTCATTTTAATTTATTTATTTATTCATAATTATGCAACTATAATTTTTTATAAATAAATATGGCATAATGTATTAATTATTGTTAATTTTTTGTTATTATAACACATGTTTTGTTAAGAGAATGATGCTAATATAATATCGCTACTAATTTTTTGCAGTGTTCGCCTAAACGGCCGTTTAGGCCGTTTACACGCTGTTTAAACGGTAAACGGCGCTATGGTGTGCAGTTTAGCGAATAAACGGTAATTAAACGGGCTAGCCGTGTAGACGGAAAAAAACCGTGTAAAATGTGTAAACGGAACGGTATTAGACGGATTTAAACGCCCTAAACGGCCGTTTAGGCCGTTTACACGGTCCGTTTTGGAAATAGAAGCGGTTGGGCGGGAGAACGAAAAATTGATCCATTTTGTGAGAACTATATATGCGTGCAGTGTGTTACTAACTGTTGTGTTGTAAGATGAACACCTGTGATGTTGACTGTTGTGATGTTATCTGTAATTTGCGTATGGGCTATGGCTATGTCATTGACTCATAAGTCATAATATTAATACTAATGGAGTTAAAAACGTGTAATCCGTTTAATCCCGTGTACACGCCGTCTACACCATCTAAACACTACACGTGCCCTTGCCGACTGTTTACCGTTTAGCGTTTAGGCTAACACTGATTTTTTGTAATAAAATTCAATAAGGCTTACTATAATACATCAACTATTTTTTTCTTATCATATATCATAAATATTAGTTTTATAAAAATAATATACTTTTTATAATATATATAGTGTATTTTGTATGTATTCTTTTTTATCTTATGAATTCACTTCCAAAAATTATATTAAATTTTATTTCACATTAATTGCGCGCAAAAAATAAATAACTTTGTTATTGACATGAATATTAACGATTACTGTGCTTATTTGTAAGTTTGCAAAAGGTGATCCATCTTGCATGTCAGTCTCAAAAAAAATTACTAAAATTTATTTAGATAATTTAAAAAAAGAGAGAGAAAAATATGTGGACCTAATTTGAAACATGCAGTTCAAATTGAGTCATTTTTGTTTTTTATTTTACTTATTCAAATTATGTTTTTTAATTGGATCATATTTCTACATGTTTATTTCAATTATTTCATATCAGTTTACCTATATAATAGTAATAATGTCTTTATTATGCGAGAATGATGAAGTTTCAAGGAGTGTAATTAATGTGAAAAATATTTTTCCTTGAATATCATAAATTATTATTTTAATTTAATTATATTTTTTTTTAAAAAAAAACATATGGTATTTTGTACTCACAATCAGTTATATGTTGTTTCTCGGAGTCACCGATTCCAATTGTTTGATGGTTATTATTTATGATAATGGTCATAATGAATACAGTTCATCGATTACTAAGATTATATATATGAGAATATCTTGAATATATTAAATAAAATATTTATCTTACTTTTTATTAACTCTATATATACATGTTTTATGTATATCAAATTATAATTTACCCAAATTATTTTTAATGTCAAGCCGCGCAACGCGCGGGTCACGTACTAGTGTATTTGTAAATGAAAAGGCTTGGTTATTATATTGTTTCTCTTCAGCAGACAGTCTTTAGTCTCCCTAAAAATAGTAGCACGGAATTAGAGAAATAATAATAATAATAATAATAATAATAATAATAATAATAATAGTGTAAGTAAACTACACAGAAATTCACACATTATTGGCATATATGTCACGAGGGCAATCAACCACCATTAAATAAACTATTACTTGAAATAAGTTGAAACCACAAAAAATGTGTAGGGAGTTCAATGGAATTATAATTTGATCAAGTAATTAGTAATTCCCATCAAGAAATATCTTCCAAATAACTCGTGGAAAAATCATTGTACAAATGAATAGTAGCTGATTATAATAGCTACCATAATGGATTAACAATTTATAAATAAGTATTTTAGTAAGTCGTTGTAGCTATTTTGAAAATATTATGTTGTCAGTGTAATATTATAGATCGTCTCTACATAGAACGTTTATGTATTGAGTTTTTTCATAATTAGTATTTTGAGCTCATAAAAATTATTTAAAATAAGTTTTTTACTGAATAAGCTAATTAACAGATTTGAGGAGGTCAAACCTCAGAAGAGATTTCGTCTGCTAATTTTACATCAATTCGATAACATCCTAACAAATCCAAATTCTATTGTTACATAGCATAAGCAGTCAGATGAGTCAACTCATGGTACTTATTGAATACGGTGTGGTCTATCATCCGACAGTGGTTAAGTTCGTTGGGTCGATGTAATTAAGATAAATAAAAAACAATCTTCGTCGCAATTGTACTTCAATTTATATTATTTATAAAGTATATCTTTTGGTGTTGATGTATAACAAAAAAAAAAAAAAAAGATTATTACGAGTTCACTAAAAGTTAGATCTAAATGTCGTTAGGTATGATGTGGCTTGGAAAAAGAAAATTTATACGTATCAAAATATTTTCCACTTATAATAAACCCTAATCTGTTCACCTTATCTTTATGAAGAATCAAATCCAGGATATTAATGGAACATGCTGATTTTGTCTGCTCACCACACATCAAAGTGCCAAAAAACTTTAATTACTTCAAAATTGTTGTTCTTAGTTCGTTTTTCCATGATCCACCGAGTTCACATTTTAATTATTTACATTATTAAATACATATTTACTAATTACTGCCCTAATAATCATTTAGGTCAACATAAAGTTCATTTGAATATTTTATTTCAATTGGGTCTCATTCCATGTGTATGTAGACATGGCCAAGAGCCGTCCAGCCCGTCGACTCGGCAAGGACCCGACCCGGACCCGGCCGGACAAACCCGTTGACCACAGGTCCGGGCCCAAACTGGATTTCCGAAGGGTCGTGTCAGGGTCATCCATTTAATGACCCAACCCAACAGGCCAGCGGGTACAGGCCCGCTGGGTCGGGTCAATGACCCATTTTTTATTTTATTTTATATATTTCCTATTGTTTTAAAAAAAATGACGAACCCGGCCTGGACATAGACCCGGCCCAAACCCGGACCCGGCCAGGTCAACCGAACCATTAACCCGACACGAGTATAGGTCCGTGCCATGTTCGGGTCATTGTTTTCGAGCCCCCCGCCGGGCCAAGTCGTGACCCGGCCGGGTTTTGGCGTACAACAGAAATTTCTAGAAATACTGCAATAACAAAAACTTCACACAATCTACTGCTGCTTTAATAAATATCTGATTTGATTATGCAAGTCTGAAATGCATTACTACCTGTAATGGTGGTTCTCAATTAACGGGAAAATACAACAGATACCCAACGATAAGTAGTTTCAATCAATAAATTAAGTACCCAAAAAAACCCTATGCATATGTATATATAAAAAAGAAAAATAAAAAGAACACAAACCCATGGAAGACCACCTCAGATCCAAGATGAGGAAAATAGAAAAGAAAAGCAAACAAAGAAAAAAAAAATACATAAAACACTAGCTTTTGAGAAGAGATTCGATCCCTTCAAAGAAAAGTGGAGCCATTTCCGGGCTTGGAGTTTTTATAGCACATTTGAGGCCCGGGACACCAATTGCTGCAGTGAGTTCGATTAAGAAAGGAATACCTCGAGGGATCTTGGCCGAGAGGTACAACACGTCTTGATTTGAGTGTTTGCGCTTGGCGATAAAGAACATGTTGGATGTAGCCAGAAGGTCCAAGGTTGACTCGACGCTGTTCAGCACGATTGATGGAAAATCCTTCGAGACCTCATTCGAGTCGGGCAGAGATTTCCAAGTCTGTGGTTATTTACATTTTAGAGGCACAAATCAATCATCAGGTCCCGTAATATGTTAATTTGCTAAATAAAAAAAAAAAACATCAAAAGGATAAATAACAGTCTACATTTTTTTTTGTCAGATAAGCAAAAACCCAATCAAGTTGAAACTCTTCCCGAAAAATTACAATTTACTCTGACAGGTGAGAGTCGTGAGACCGAATATAATACGTAAAAAATACTCGAATGTTCAGTACACTACTTACCTCAAGGAACGTGGATCGCTCCATTTTTCCATCCTCTGAAAAGAATACAAGCAGGGAAATTTTGTCATTGAAATACCAGACAGGCTGCTGATTATTTTTCACAGCAACTTGCAGAAGCGTGCTTGGTGGGCCAGGAGATACGTTCTGGAACAAAATCATAGGCAGAAGGGTGCTTGCAGATGTCCCAGGTTGCAATTGAGGGACCTGATAGAAATGAAATATTAATTAACTGAGAGAAAGTATAAACAAAGCAGTTTCTTTTTTTTTTTTCAATTATTATTATTATAGAGAAAAAATAGGCATCATAATTACCTGAAGAGGTGCACCTGCAGCAAGACCAAAGGTGTTCTTGTTGAACTGAATCATAAACCCATCGAGTGGTATCTGAGAATTGTTCTCAAATAACATGCTGTAGAACATCTGGCCGTCTCGTCTTACCAGCTGGGCACTAATTTGTAGGCCCTGGCCAGTGTGTGCCGGTAATAGAACCGGCAAAGAAGGTCTGGAATCAAACATATGATTTTAGTGTAAAGCACATGTTAACAGAAAATAGCAAGCAATCCAAATGGAAGGAAGGGAAGTTCCAGATATTTTTTATTTATTTTTTCTATTTCTTATTTTTAGAAAATTACCCAGCTGGGGTTGCAGGTTGTTCAGTCGGCACCAGGGCACTAGTGTTACCATCCATGCCCATCAGGTCAAGTAAATCAGGCACGGCTGCAGGAGCAGGAGATGATTGCCTTCCAGCAGAGGGCTGCACAGTACTTGTGGCGGCTGGCGATGAGGCACCACCAGAAGTACCTGCATTGGCAGGTGATTCGGAATTACCTCCTTCACCATCAGGATACTCCTCTTCCTCTGTTTTCTGGACAGTTTTCACACGAGTCACAAATCCTTCGGGTGGCTTGTGATATACAGATGATAATGTCGCAATGTTGGCAAGAAGCTCGTCCAGGAGAGATGGATCAAGTTGATTAGAGTCATCACTAATCACAGGCTTTTCAGCTAAAACAACATCCTTTGCTGCCTGAAAAGTTACAGAACACCCTTTACATACCGTTAACATATACATATGCACAGAACCTTCCTCGACTGCTTTACACCTAAGGACCTTGATTTTTTGCCTAGATGCAATTCTAGATCCAAAGATACGGAGAATATGACGATTATAGGTCCGATTCCAAGCAAAAAGTACTCTGGACACAAGCTATCGCTGAGTCATGGCCAAGTGTGGTTAACTTAACTTACAGTGGGTCCAGACTCTCAGTCTTAAGATGGGCTCCCATCACATGAACAACAGTACAGTGAGACTATCCCATGCAAGCATATCAGAAGTATAGGTGTCTAGACACAAACTATTATAGGATGATGAAAAATGAAATGATGTTGTGACACAACCATGATTCACACAAGAAATCATGATTGTAGGTCACCATTCAATCTCAACCATTCCCTTCCAATCCCAGTGACAGGTTTCTCAAAGTTTGATATTATTCTTTACATCTTGGTGTGGCCCAATGTATATGCATCAGAAAACCGCAAATTTTTAAAACAGAAATTTCTTGACACCAAATAAGTATAAAAAAATAAAATGTCATGAAGTAATAGAACATCAGCTGGAAAAGTGAGAACCATAATAAACTACTAGCATACCTCCGGATCAGTTGAAAGGAGCCGCCAATAAATGTATGCACGATCTCTAAGGTCGGGATTATCAGTCTCCACAGTTGCATTATTCAGAACGACCTGAGTAAGAATATGATATAAGTAGAAATTCAGAAAATGTAACCGGAACAATGTGTACGAGAGAGAGATATTCGTAAAAGTTCTGAAAATGTAGCCGGAACCATGAGAGAGAGAGAGAGAAATAAAACTTAGAGCTAACGACCTAATTTAAAGCTGCGCATATAAAATTTAAACCGTATAGAACTATGCATGCAGAGCCATCAATACCATATTCAAATTAATGAAAATCACAAGCGAATAGCATAGACAAATGGAGGGCATTCACAACATAAAGTGGAGTTAAAAGACATGCCTGGATCATCTGTTGTGGGCCTTCTGTTGGCTTCTTTAAGAAAAGTTTAACTGTTGCTGTTAGCAACTGCAATTGGACCTGAGGAGGTTCTTCTGGAAAAGTTTCTAAAAAACTTTCGAGGAGCTCATCGGCATTATCAATTCTTTCGGCATATTCACCAATTATCCAGATCATTGACGCCTGTAAAGGAAGACATAAGAAGATATTCAAATTGAGCGTGACATTACTTGACCAGAAAAAAAGACAAGAACTTCAATAAGGCCCAAGTCCTGCACAGTACCTTTGCCTCTGGCTCGTCCAAGGTGTCTAAGTTCTCACAAAGTGTAGCAATTATGGACTCATAGCTGAAAAAAATCACAAGTTTAAGTTCACAAGGGCAGGAGTTATCAATTAATACAACATCATTAAGAAATTAAAAGATAAATGAAGTGTCATACGTGTTGGGGTATCTCCTAAATATATCCTTAATCACTATTATAGCTTCTTGCACGACATAGTTTACTTTAATCTTGATCAACTCAAGTAAGACGCTAATGCAACGTTCAGCCGCTCTCTCTAATTTTATGGCACATCGTCCAATAGCACGGACTGCTTTCCTGACAAAGTCCACATCTACTTCAGTAGCGTACTCTTTAAACTCCAATAGAACCTAAACATTCAAATGAAGAGAGCATTACAGTCAAGCATTAAACAAATACTAAAAAATATTAGATAACACAACGTACTCCAAACAAAACCAACTTACTTGGTCAATATTCCTGTCAGAAGCAAGCTTTATCATAATCTCTAACTTTTCCATCTTCACATAAATCGGATCATTGTATTTGCAGAAAAACACCTTGAGAACATGTAAGTGATATGTAAGTTCACCGTCAATGATCAAACTCAACATACCACTTCCAGGATGCAATAATGCAAAGTATTACCTTGATTTCATGGGCAAGAATAGTGGGACGCTTTTGCACAATAAGGTTTATGTTCCTCAGAGCAACATACTGAATCTCTGGTTCTGCAGAAAGCAACGTCACCAGAGGTGGGGCCATTTTCTTACATAGGTTTCTAACAACATCAGTGCTGGTAATCAGTTCCATTTGTAAAAGGATCATCTGCAATTGCATGTCAAAAATGGTTCATTTCAATCAATGGTAATGAGAAAAAAATTAATATTACCCGAATAATGAATGTTGTAAAAGATAACAAAAAGATGAATACACAAGGGTATGGAAGTCCTTCCATTCCAAGAGCCCCATAAGAGCTATCAGGAAAAACAAAATCTACTTTGTCATTGCTAAACAACTAATTAAAGTCACAGCTGAATAAGGAAAGTGAAAGAAAAGGATAAGTGTGGGAAAAGTCAAGAGCTTTATCCTAAAATACAGAGCAACGAACCTTGACAGCAGAGAGAACAACAGCACAATTTGCATGCTGTAAACGAGGAGTAACTCGCTCAACTATATTTTCGGCTTCACGAGCATCCGCCGCTTTATACTTGGAGAGAGCATCTAAAATAAAAACCTGACCCCATCTGAAGGAGGTAAAATATCAATTGACATTCATTAATCGGCACAAGAAAATTAGTTTATTGACATAAACAAAATGCAGCACCAATAATATCAAAAACCATAAGTCAAAGTGATACTAAATAAGCATTTTACAGCCTACTGGGTTTAACAGGTCCATCAAACTGTAGTGTCCAATAATAAAGGATAATCTGAACAAATAAAACTTTTTTTTTTTTATCTGAACAAATAAACTTATCAACCATTCAGCGCCTACTTGGACTGTTAAATCACTATCTTATAAAAAGATGCACGATGGCATTGAATGGGAATTCAAATATGGTGGCTGTACTCTATTTTATATAAACATGTGGAGATTCAGGCGAAACGAGCAGAGAGATGAAGGTGATGCATCATAGTCACAACTTAGATTTCCATCTAGAGCTGTAAAGTTCACCAACAGGTATGACTAATTTCTCTTACAGCACATAACCATGGAGAAATATCAATGATTTCGAGCATGAATTAATCTCTGAGAAAAAGACAATGAGAGAAATTCAGTATCCTACTCTGTGCATTCATTGAGAGCCGTAAGAAGCTTTGACAAAGTGTGACTAGTTATCTCAAATATGGGCCTGCTGCTACTCTCTTGAATTTCTGCAAGTGCGGCAACAGCATTCGCAACAACCATGGGGTTGTTATCTGATATTAAATCCTTGAGAGCATCCAGGAAACCTCTATCTTCCACTAACTCGGCATTAATGTCATAAAGCTTTGCAACACATATAGCTGCTGTCTTGCGAACATATGGGTCGTCATCCTGATGTAAAAGAAAACAAAAGGAAAAAGGCAATTGGTGTACTACAACTCACAGTTCCATACTTTTCTGGTCATTGTAAAAACTATATGCTGGACTCATGAAAAAAAACATATGGCCATAATAGTTTCACAAACTACCTTGAGACACCGCTGCAAGGGATCACATAAATACTCTGTGATTTTATCAACTCGAATGCATCCCATTGTCCTCACAGCTAAAGCACGGATCAAAGGATTTGGGTCCTGGGAATCCTGGAAAAATATGTTCACATTAAACTTTTGCCTCTAACTACTATTAAGTTTCTTCAAAAATATGATACTAGCAAAAAGCCTGTGCTTCCTCTTACTTTTTGTTGTCTGTTGAGGAATATTTGAAGGGCAAAAAATTGAAAAACTTACGGATTAAAATTGGAAGTAGCATCAACACATAATAAACAATGACAGCTAGTGCAATTTTGACTGTTCGCGACTGAAATTTTCTACCTTTACAAATGTATTTACAGCAAGAATAGCAAGATCCGGCTGGCTCTTTGCGTAGTTGATGAGATACAGATACACGAGCTTTTTGAGCTCCAAATTTTCTGTTTGCATGCAATTCACAACATCTGTGAAAAGCGAGGACACATCCTTCCCCACCGTCATTGCTGCTATCACCTTCTTGACAGCATCTTTCCTCTTATCCTGCAACCAGAGCAGTTTAAACCCATTTCAGAAAGAACCAATTGAAGGCTAGCATTCACTTCCCATTAAAACTAAGTACGAAGCTAACCGAATATAATTTAGCAAAGCATAACATACGTAGCTCAACAGCAACAGAAATTAACAGTCGCACCAGTGTTTATCTTTAACAAAATAAATCGTGCCCCCTTCACCACACAGATCAAACACACGATTGAAAAGTCCAAACCATACAAATTCACAAATTAAATCGAGAACTCAGTAGATCTAACTTCATCCGACATTAACACCAGATAAAATATTCGATACCTAAAAAAATGAAGGACCATCTGCGGGCAGATGCCGCAGATCAAAGAAGATGGTATTCTGAATTCATGAATCATACAATCTAAATACGAGAAACTAAGCATCTAGTGATCGGATTAACGTGCAATTTGATATGCAGGTAGACAGTTGGGCAGAGAGGAACCTTGTACTGAGAATTGAGTTCTTCTTTGAGCTCGGGGATTTCACCCTTTTTGGTGGTAGAGAAATATTTGGAGTCGTGGCCGCTCATCTCTTTGCACTGTGAACCAAACCGTGGGAGCTCCTTTTCCGGTGGGCTAGACGGAGAACTGGAGAGAGAGAGAGAGAGAGAGAGAGAGAGAGGGGGGGGGAAGACGACGAAGATGAAGAAATTAGATTTGAAGACAGTGGTGGGCTGGATGGACCGCTGCTAAAATGAACCGGATTCAAACCTTTATTTAATTAAGACGAAATTGCAATTTTGGTCCTAGTAATTTTATTCCGAAACGATAGAAGTTCTATTAAAAAGCACAAATGTCCTAGTAATTAACGTGGTAGTAATTTTAGTCTCAAAATATGAATGTTATGCTATTTAATTATGTGATTTAAAAATTAATTTAAGTCCTTCCTGTTACAAATATATTATTGTGTGGACATTACTAAAATACATGTTGGGCAAGCTCAATAATCATTAGCTAGGTTATATTAGGTTTAAGTATATCGAACGGTAATGAATAGAGTTATCCTTTTATGCTGCTCTTATTTTTATTCTCCACGTCGTTATTTATTTTTATGTTTGGTGTACAGGAAGATTGAGGATCCTAATTTACAACATGTTATCAGCGCGCCTTATTTTTTTGTGTTTGGTGTTGCCTTGAAAAAGAACTTTCGTCAACGTACTTTCAGTCCTCTTCGTGATGTATGTTCTTGAGTTGGAGTTTATTATTGTTCGAAATCATCATGAATTGGTCACCTGGAGTTTTATGTGATTGTTTGTTTAAATTAGATCGTGATAACCCTAGTAATTATATTTTCTTGGGTAATATGTTTCATGGGTCATGATGAAGGTCCCAACTCTCAATTATATTAACGCTAATATTTTGGACTATAGATTATTATTAATCTTGTGACATTTAATTGGTTTGCAATTAGTGCTATGGGCCGATAAGTTGTGACCTTCAAAGCTTAATTAATTAAAATAATAAATTAGAAAAAAATGGTTAGCCTTCACATTTTATAAAACTCCAAGTTATGTGCTTTGTCTTGTCAAAATGGCTTCTATTTATTCACTATCTTTTGTTTTATTAAGTTTTTTTGTAACTATCTTAATATATTGAAAGAGGCCAAGAAGGTTGCAGGCAGTAACCGAGTATAAAAATTTTGGATTAATTTTCCTTAAATGGAACAAATAATTGACCGAAAGATAATTGAAAAGTGGTGTTATCTGGAGGAAATAACAGTGGTTATTGAAGCTTGTGATGACTTTTCCATTAAATTCATAAAGACAATTGAATCTGCTTGATAGGTTTAAGGTGGTAAATATGAAATAATTGATTATGTTTTTTTTTTTTTT